GGAAGCCTGCTTCTCCCTCTCCCACTCCCCCTGCTTGTGTTCCCTCTCTCGCTGTCTCTCTCTCTCTGTCAAATAAATAAACAAAATCTTAAAAAAAAAAAAAAAAAGAAACACTATAATGTTTATCGGGAAATGCTGGTAATTGAATTAGGTATTGCATTCCCACTGAAATCAACACTTTACATTCCACATTTAGAAAGCATTTAAACATGGGTTGGAAATGTCTGCATCTGAGCAATACTTACACATCTGGAATAACATTATTGTTTGTCCAAACTATGTTCTTGTTCTTTATTTTCAAAATTTAACCCTAGTTTTAATTTTTTTAATGTACTGTTTGTAGGATAAACAGTTCTTTTAAGTGAAGAATAAAAGATGAGCCATAGTAACAGTAACAGTTAAGGCTGTGTATTTAATTCACTGTTACACACTGCCATCTAGCAGGCAGCCCGCAAAGGAAGAGTTACTACAGCGGTATCAAAGATGGAGCTGACCTTAATGAACCTCTGACGCTAGGACAGTGCTTGTGGCTTGCAGACAGCATGAGAAAGTTGTGAAATTGAGGTGAGGGTGCTTCTAGATTGGTGGGTCTGCCACTTTAGTGTGCAAATACCTGGGTTGCTTATTCGATGTGGAGAGCTGGGACCCACCTGAAAGCCCCCTCCCTTTGAGAGACCGCGGGGTGGGCCAGAAACAATGCCCTAGTTGTAGTGTGACATCACGAGCAAGCCCAAGATTGGTCATGAGCTTCTGGGTTGTCTCATATGGAGGGAAGGAAGGGCATACAAGGAGAATGAGGTCCTGAAGACCAACTTGCCATACACCCAGCCAGAGCGCAAGCACTCCGCAAATGAAATGAACCAGCCAAGTCACCGCACGCATTTTAGGAAAATGTGGCAGCGAGTAGGGGGGCAGTCTGTTGGGAGGTGTGATGTTAAGGAAAACAGTCCTTTTGCGTGACATTTGCTACATATTCAAGAATCGTTAAAAGATGCCCAGAAAATGAAAATCACATCGATGTTATTTCTACATCTTACACAAAATGAGGGCGCTAATCGGGTGAAAAATACCGAAGAAATGGATTGCATATGGATAACGAAAGCCTGCCGGTCTTGGGGCTCCCCCCAGGGCATTTTCTCCATGAAATACGCAATGCCCGCTATAGCTGGGCAGTCAGAATCCCTACCACTTCTGCACACAATTCCAGCAACAAGTGATTCTCAGAGAAAATGTGGGGAAGAAGGATGCAATTCTCAACACAACCTGGCAGAGTGAGGCTCTGGAACTGGCGGGGCTGGGAGGATCGTGGCAAAGGGGAGGGACGTGAAATCCCCCCAGTTGCCGGCGGCGGGGACCCGCGGGCCTTCCCCGGGCTCCTGCGGCTCTGGCGCGTCACCGGCCTCCCACCTGTGCTTTTCCAGCCCCTGATAGTTTTAAATCTCAGGCGGTCTCTGGAAAGCGCTGCCCAAGGTTTCCCAAAACAGACTTGGCTTCTTTTTCCGCGCACAACTCCGTCTTTCTCTGGCACACACTCCCTTCTGGGCACAAAGAGGAGGTGTCCTGCGGCTGCGAGTCCGGCGGGCGGCTTCCCAGCTTCCGTGCGCACCAGGAAGTCTCCTTTGATTTGTGGGCATCAAGACCCTGTCCCCACCAAGTATCACTCCAGCCAGAAAAGACCCAGTGCCTCCCACTCACCTTGTCTCGGGGTAGGAGGCTCGTTCGGCGGCCGGCAGCCCCGCGGTTTTCCACTTTCAGTTTGCACCCTGCCCGAGCTGGGGCGAAGACTCGGAAAGGAGGTTTGGGAAAGGGGGGATGACTCTTCGCGCGCCCAGGCCCAGCGATCCTTGATCCAGGTTTTCGCCGGTGCCGGGCTTAGAATCCAGTCCACAGGGGTTCCCGGGAGCATCTGTTCCTCCCCTCACACGCGAGCCCCCACATTTCTTGAAAGTTCCTGGGAAGCTCCTGAAATTCTCTTAAGTCAGTCGTGGGACACTTTCTGCGTCTCAAACTCTGAGAAGACTGAAGCAAATTCAGTCACCTATTCAGGAAAACTGAGAACATGGTAAGCAGAGCAGAGACCTGGGTACCTTTCGTCGGGTACCGTGTTTGGTAGACTGAGCAGGATGATCATTTGCCAGTAAAATGAAACTTACTTCAGGCTACTGAATTCCAAATTCGGAGAACCCAAGTAGAATTATTTTGCTCTAGCCTGCAGGAAGGTGATACACGTAGGGAGGTAATTCAAGACCTTGGTAGGGCCAGGCCTAGGTTGAGGCAAGTGAGGCATCCAGGGCTCAAAATATGAGGAGACACTGACTGAGCCATGTAAATGCTGGGCACACTTGTAGGAACCTGAGTCATCGCTGCCCTAGGCCTGCCTCACTGTAGTCCTGGCCCCGAGAGTTCCAGTGCCAAGCACCTCAATTAACTTCTCTGTAAAAACCAGTTGATGATAATAATGGTATCAACTTCAAGGAACACCAAACACAAAGGAAAAGATTGATAAATTGGATATCATTGAAACTAAATTCTGTTCATCAAAGACACTATTGCTAGAAGGGAAAACAATCCAGAGTAGAAAATATTTGCAATAGATTTATTTAAGAAAGAATTCATATCCAGAATATAGCCAAGAATGCCTATAATGTGGTAAGAAAGAATTGAAAAAGCATCCTAATAAAAATCTCCTCTGGGAAAGAAGGGACCAAAGACTTATACAGCACGCACTTCATCAAAGAGGAATCTGGCCAGTAAGTATGTGAAAAGATGCTTAACTTCTTTAGTCATCAGAGAAATGCAGATTAACACAACAATTATATACTACTACACATCCACCCACCCCAAAATTCGTGTGGAACCACAAAAGACCTGGAGTAGCCAAAGCAATCTTGAGAAGAACAAAACTGGAGGTATCACAATCCCAGATTTCAAGATATAAGACCATAGTAATCAAAACAGTATGGTACTAGCATAAAAATAGCCACAGAGATCAATAGAACAGGATAGAGAGCCCAGAAATAAGCCCCACTCCTATATGGTCAATTAATTTATGACAAAGGAGGCAAGAATATAACATGGGGCAAAGACAGTTGTTTCAATACATAGTGTTGGATAAACTGGACAGCTACATACAAAACAATGAAGCTGGACTGCTTACCTACATCATACCAAAAAATAAATTTGAAATGGAGTAAAGACCTAAATATGAGATCCAAAACCATAAAACTCCTGAAAGAAAAGATAAGCAGCAATCTCTTGGACATTGACCTTAGCAACATATTTATGGAGATGCCTCCTGAGGCAAGGGAAACAAAAGCAGAAAATAAAGGATTGGGACTATATCAAAATAAAAAGCTTTGCATAGCAAAGGAAACCATCAACAAAACAAAAAGGCAACCTAGTGAACGCAAAAGATATTTGCAAAAGATATATCTAATAAGGGGTTAATATCTAAAATATATGAAGAACTTAATACAACTCAACACCAAAAAAACCAAACAATCCAATTAAAAATGGGCAGAGGACCTGAATAGACAGTTTTCCAAAGAAGACATCCAGATGGCCAACATGAAAAAAATGTCGGAAACATGAAAAAATGTTCAACATCACTAATCACTGGGGAAATAAAAATCAAAACCACAATGAGATATCACCTCACACTAGTCAGAAAGGCCAGAATCAGACAAAAAATAACAAGTGTTGGTTAGGATCTGGAGAAAAAAAGACCCCCTGTGCACTGCTGGTGGGAATGCAAACTGGCACACCACTATGGAAAACGGTATGGAGATTCCTCAAAAAATTAAGAAATAGAACTGCCATATGATGCAGTAATTCCACTTCTTGGTATTTATCTGAAGAAAATGAAAAACTAACTCAAAAAAAATATGTATATATATACACAGTTGACTCTTGAACAATGTGGGAGTTAGGGGCACACCAACCCCCACCCCATACATTTTTGGTGTATGTATTATATACTGTATTCTTACCATAAACTAAGCTAGAAAAAAAATGTTAAAAATCCCAAGGAAAAGAAAATACATTTACAGTACTGCACTTTATTTATTGAAAAAAAAAATTCACATATAAGTGGATCCATACAATTCAAACCCATGTTGTTGAAGGGTTAATGGTATGCACCCCTGCATTCATTGCAGCATTATTTACAATACCCAAAGATATCGTAAGAACCTAAATGTCTATCAGTTGATGAGTTGGATAAGAAATGTAGGGCGCCTGGGTGGCTCAGTTGGTTAAGCGACTGCCTTCGGCTCAGGTCATGATCCTGGAGTCCCGGGATCGAGTCCCGCATCGGGCTCCCTGCTCGGCAGGGGGTCTGCTTCTCCCTCTGCCCTCTTCCCTCTCATGCTCTCTGTCTCTCATTCTCTCTCTCTCAAATAAATAAATAAAATCTTTAAAAAAAAAAAAAGAAATGTAGTATATACACACAATGTATATATACAAAATGTATATACATACACAATGTATATACATACAAAATGTATATACATACATATATACATATATCACTTCCCCTACTTAAACAATTTGGGGAGTGTGGTGTGGTACACCTGGTGAGTATTATCTAGCTTTTGATTTCTTCCACATTATTATTTCTTAAGAAGCTTCATCCTTTGATTTATTTTTTAAGTAAATGTATATACATACATTTTTCATTAAAAAATGAAATCTTTGCCGTTTGTGATGTGATGGACCTAGAGGGCATTATGCTAAGTGAAATAAGTCAGACAGAGAAGGACAAATACCATATAATCTCACTTGCATGTGGAATAAAAAAAAAAAAAAAAAAACAGGGGCCCCTGGGTGGCTCAATCAGTTAAGTGTCTGAATCTTGGTTTCAGCTCAGGTCGTGATCTATGGGTCATGAGATTCAGCCCCACAATGAGCCCCGCATTAGGCTCTGCACTCAGCAGGGAATCTGCTTGAAGACTCTCTCCTTCTGCCCCTCCCCCCCAACTCAAATAAATAGATAAATCTTAAAAAAATAAAAATAAAACAGAAAGGCAACAGAGCTCATAGAAACAGAGAACAGAATGGGGGAGGGGGAAAATGGGTGAAGGCAGTCAAAAGGCACACACTTACAGTTACAAAAATGTCATAGGTGGGCACCTGAGTGGCTCAGTCTGTTAAGCATCTGACTCTTGATTTTGGCTCAGGTCATAATCTCAGGGTCCTGAGATTAAGCCTTGGGCTTCACACTCAGTTCTGAGTCTGCTTGAGATGCTCCCTCTCCCTCTGCCCCTCCCCCCACTCTGTCTCTCTCATGTTCTCTCACTCTAAAATAAATAAAAAGCCTTTTTAAATATGTCATAGGTATTTAATGTGCAGATCGTGATTAGAGTTAAAAATAAAAAGTATGAATTGCATATTTGAAATTTGCTGAGAGTAGATCTTTAACATTCTCATCATTAGAAAAAAATTGCAATTATATAGTGACAGATGTTAACTAAATTTACTATAGTGATCCTCTAGCAGTATATACATCTATCAATCATTATTTTGTACTACTGAAACTAATATATGTCAAAAATAAATCAGTTTAAAAAGCTATTCATTGGATTCACCTATTGGTGGTGAGCAGGAAAGGAGTATTACTCTAAATCAACCTGAAAAATATATCACTTCTCCTACTTAAAACAATTTGGGGAGTGTGGGGTGGTAAACCTTGTGAGTATTATCTAGCTTTTGATTTCTTCCACATTATTATTTAAGAAGCTTCATCTTTCGACTTACTTTTTAAGTAATCTCTACACCCAAGGGAGGGCTGAACTCACTACCTAGAGACCAAGAGTCACAGGCTCTGCTACTGAGCCAGCCAGGCATCCCTCTTCCATATTATTTTAAACTTGATTTTATTAACATAAAAGAGCATTGTATGTGTGACTGCCCTCTAGGTCTTTAAACCAGGAAAGGCAAGTAGATGAGTGAGAACAATCAAAATTGTTGTGTTTTTTTTTAAAGATTTTATTTATTTATTTGACCGAGAGAGACACAGCCAGAGAGGGAACACAAGCAGGGGGAGAGGGAGAGGGAGAAGCAGGCTTCCCGCGGAGCAGGGAGCCCGATGCGGGGCTCGATCCCAGGACCCTGGGATCATATCCTGAGCGAAGGCAGACGCTTAACGACTGAGCCACCCAGGCGCCCCTCAAAACTGTTTCTTATGAAGCAATGTAAACTATGCATTTAACATACCACCAGTCATCATATAGCCCCCTTTTTCAAATGGGATAGTTTGCTAAAGGGTAACTTGCCTAAAGATAACTTAGTAAATAGCAGTTGGTTTTTATAACCTAAATTTGGCTCCAAAAACCACTGCCAAATCAATGGTTTCCAAGAGGGCGTTTTGTTTAAGATTTATTTATTTATTTTTAGAGGGAGATTGACAGCGGAGGGGAGGGGCAGAGGGAGAGGGAAAGAGCGAATTCTCAAGCCACATCCCCGCTGAGCAAGGAGTCCGGGAAGGGACTGGATTCCAGGACCCTGAGATCACGACTTGAGTCGAATCCATCAGTTAAGCCTCAGCTTAACTGACTGAACCACCCAGGCACCCCTCCAACAGGGTGGTCTCAATTCATAGTTTTCACCTGTATGCAGCAAATACATTACTTATGATATACTTAATTATTTTATAATGCAATATGCAAAGTAAGTGCCCATCCTTATTCTGAGATTATGCCTTTTTTGCTCTTTTGGTATTAAACTGGCCTTTCTTGAAAAAACGGTGTGAGCTACTAAACGTTTTTTTTTTTTTGTCAAATTAAAAAGAGGGGGACAAACTGTTAATCC